CTTACTCGTCCACCCATATCCATTTTTGACAAATCATCTTCGTCATCACTGTCTACGATCTCCCGGTTGTACTCCTGATATCCGGGATAGCATTCAGAATAACTCTCAGAAATGAAATTCGGATCTTTCTCTCGTGAATCTTTCTCCCTCAATTGTTGAAGCCTCTGATCGTCTCGCTTGAAGACGGATCCTAGACCTCTATCCTTCTCCTCTTGTGTCATGAACCGTGGATCTTGATGGGCATTTAAACTGGCTTGAATATCGAATGGGGGCATGTTTGGCTGGAAGTACTGTTCCTGGTATGCCAATTGCTCAGCATACTGATAATCTTGCCACTCTCCCTGGTAACCAGCAGCTAATGCTTGTCCTTGTGTTGCATCGTAACCGTTCTGAAACCACATGGCCAAAGAATACAGAATGATTACCCAAACGAGAAATAAACAAATTAACACTAATACTCCTCATGTGAGAGCAGCAAATTAACACTTACAATTTCTTGCCATTCTTGAGGAGGCAATGAAGGTGGGACTGGACCATACACAGGCTCGCTGAAGTAAGAAACCTTTTCCTTATTCCGAGGAGATTCTTCCATATCCTCTGAAAGAGGGCTCTGATTTGGGTCCTTACCAGGAACGGCATAATCAACTCCATCCCCAACAAATATGTCATCGTCTTCTTCTCTAGCAACTGCTGGTCCTTGTTTCTCCATGGACTCCACATAAATTTTCCTTGGAGGGGGTGGAGGCGGTGGCAAACTCTCTTTTTCAGTCTGATTCTTCAATGCTCCATTATCTGACCTGGTTTTGTGCTCCTCAAACCCATTACTAAGAGTTGAAATCTTTCCTACTGAACAAAAGAAGCCAAAAGATAAGTACAACAAAATAATCAAATTCATAATGATGGCAGAGCAAAATACAGGAGAACAGAAGCCTCCCTAATATGTTATCACTACTATGGACAAGGGAAGAAAGGTCCCTGGAGGCAAAATCTCTCCAGTATGAGTGTGATAGTTTAGCATCCATGTTCCCAGAACTCTTCCGATCCTACTAATTCACCACAGCACGTGTCCTTTTTTTAGTTAATGCCATCCTACTTGATCTTCTAAACTTTCAGCATCGAAACATCCTATTTATTTGTTATTGAGAGGAAAAGGGAAAAGAAAGAGCACTTGATTCTCCATCCCAGAGATTGAAAATGACAAAAAATATCTCGAACTGAAATCATGAACTCAAATAAGAACATATTTGCAAATGGTCTGCAGATTGCTGCACTTAATTCCCCAACTAACTCATTTTTAAAGCAATTACAATTTTATGCATGCATATGCATGGTACATATGAAAAGATTAAACAACTCCAATTTAAAAGTGGTCAAACTCACATGAACAAAGGAGAGGGCAGTGTGGATGTCTGTAACAGGACAAAAAGCAATTGCATTCACCCCAACAATTTAGCGGCTATTTATCTATTCCAGATCTTGGAAACCACAATAAACAATTTTTTCTCTGACAGACAGCCTGCAATTATTAAAGAACCATCTATGCCACTTTTGTAACGACAAGCTATTCTAACGCGCAGATTATAATTACCTCTTGCATCTTTTTCCTTCTTTTTCTTCTTAAGAACCTTCCCAGAAGACCCAAGGCGAAGATACGACATAATTTTTGCAATACGATCCAGTACAGAACCATCAACACTGACAGTCACCATTTCCTAATACACATGAAGGTGACAATCAGATGGCTGCACATCAGATAAGTGAAAAATCTAACCAAGGGATTCAAAAGGGGAAGAAAAAACCTCAGGCACTGGACAGTCAGCTTTACTTCTATGCAAGGTCGTCGGAATATCATTTGAGTATCCACCTTCCTACACAAAAGATTCAACAAAATATGCTCAACAAGATCTTCAAAGACTTGGAGAAAAATAAGACAACATTTCAAAGTCAGCACCTATCCAATTTATGGTTTTCTAGGTCAATCTATACAGACGTGCAATGCAAAAACTCCACCCTTTTGCTGCCAACCTATCGTAGTATTACCTGCTTCATCCTTGATGTCTATAACTAATCCAGCTTAAGTATCAACGGACCATGTAAAATGACGTCTTGCATATGTAATATTTTCCACAATTAGACCATAGTTGACATTTCTCGAAACACATCAATCTCCCAAGTCCCAATTACAAAGGCTTAGCAATCCCAATAGGGAGAGGGCAAGGCAACCCAAAGACTAATAAAAGTACAGAAGAACAAGAACATTTGCAGATTAAATAAGCCCAATCAGCCTCCGAGATAGAGACCAGAGACAGTAGATAGTATTTCATTGAGAGTTATACTGGAAATACTCCGCAATGTGAACCGTAGTGTCTTATTTAGATGGCAACTGATACGCTTCTCTTCAACAAGCCTAGAATTTCCAAGAATGTTATCTAAGAACGAGAACTGACTCTCTGAGATTGTCAAATCAAAGAGGGACAACTTACCATGTTATATATGAATGCCATTCGACCAGGTAGAAACATCTCGTTTGTCTTGATAACGGTTTGAGGCTTCACAATCCATTGATAGATTGACTGAAAAGGCAAAGGCATGGATTCAAATTAAATGATGCAGACCTTAAGTACCAAGCACATGAAGATGTAGTATTTTAATCTGGCAATAAGTTCCAATTGCCACACAGAAGCTTCAATGAAAATGCACCTTTGCAGTCGCAGTTCGGAATGAGAGTTGCTGGTCTTCTTTAGTTTCTCTGCCACGAATTCCCAAACTTGGGTCAGTACAAACTACTCGTAAAATCACAAAATGCTGAAGTCGAGGATTAAGCTGGGCATGAAACGTTTCTTCACATGGTTCAATGGTAGACACCCAACTAAAAAAAAACTAATTTTTTTGGGCATTTTCATAGTTAGCCTCACAAACAATGAACACACCAGCGTTCATATTCAGCAATTCAAGCAGACGAACGTACGGAGTTCCAGATTGTACACCGCAAATCAATACAAAAATTACCTAGACTTGGCATCAGCATCATCTCCAGCCTCGGGTTTCTTGACCATCTCGCTCCTGACCTTATTAAGCAAGGCGTAATCCAAACCCTTGACCAAGTGCGTGTGCTCGACATCGCCTCCGAGATACTTGCTCTTCTCGATAGACAGCTTGTGCGCATCGGCCGACCTGAAAAATTCCCACCATCCCTCAGCAGCCAAACGCGAAACGACCGTCGAATTCCGAGACGCGAAAAAGCGAGCTCATTAACCTGAGATCGACGTTGCCCGGAGGAGCGACGGCGTGGAACGAGCCCAGTTCGGTGAGCTCGTAATCCGGATTCTGGTCCTCCCTGCGCTCCTTCGCGCGGTCCCTGTACTTCGGCAGCTCCGGCTCCTCCGGCTTCTCCTCCCTGCGTTTCGCAGACACGATGAGCAGCGCCGTTAACTTTCCATTTTGCGAGGGCAAAGTTTTTCCCCCCAGGAAAAACAGAACGGGAAAATCTAGTAAGTGGAAGAAGGATGGGGTGAGAGGGCGGAGGAGGTCGGACTCACTTTCGACGCGCCATCTTCTCCTTGTAGTGCTTCTTCGAGGAAGACATGGCTCCAACGACGGTGCGGAAGGAGGAGTTTGCAGAGATCTCTGGCTCGCTAGGGCAAAGGACGCGACGAAGGGAGGAAGAAGAAGAAGAAGAGGATGAAGATCACCACCACCGGGGAAGGACGGTGGTGATTTACTTTACTGCCCCCCCCCCGGCGGGTGTTGGTAAACGGGCGGGGCCTGGCACGCCGCGGCCCATTTACTGCATTGGGCCGTTCCGGGCCAGCACTGCAGTAGGCCCATGCCGTGCCGGGCCAGATCCGTGGGCCTGATGGGCCGGTATGATTCGGCCCTGTTTTGGCCACTTTTGGTATTGATTTTGGTTTGGGCCCACGCAAAAGTAGTCGTGGGGCTACTTTTTGGGCCAGCGGTAAAGATAACTTGTGGGATCGGACCGTATTGGCCCATTAGCCGACACTGGGTCAAGAGCTCGGGTCGGATGGAGCACGGTTCGGACCGGATTCTCAACTCCTAGAGCCCCGCCGCCGGCACGAAGGAGAATTCTCGTGGACCGTCGGCCTGATGGCGCGTCGAATCTCTATAGTCTACGTGTTTTTGGTAATTATTAATCCCTGAATTTTTGCAAGTTTTCTCATTCGGTCTAATTATTTAACTTTTGAACATAGTTGTGGTTCTTGACTTAAATACAACGTCGAGTCTCGCGTTTTTCTCAGAGGGCGCTCGTGCTCGATGGGAGGTTGTTCCGAGTAATTTCCTATAATAGTTGATGATTTCCTAAGGTGATTATTACCTGGTCAATGCTGGAGCACAAATTTTGGAAGATGAACCACGAGGCTGAAGAGTCAAGATTTCAAGTCTCCATGTCTTTATTGCACTTCATATTTCCTAATTGTCATCAATGCATTTCTTTCTGAGTTCACGGATCGACCGAGTTGAGTACGAGATCGGGGCCCAACTCTCTTCTTTTGAAGTTCGTCCACGAAGAGTTCCAATGCTAATTTTCGGACGGGGTTCGGCTCGGCTTCTATAGAAAAGATCCTTTCTCCAACAACTCCCACATTTGTCCAGTAGATCGGAACGGGTCGTCAAACCCATCCCCAAGTACCATCACATACGACTACCATGGTGAACAATTATTATGTGGACTAGTTCCTTGTCCCCTTAGAATGTTCCGATGTGGGGTTGGACTGACTCGGTCACATACAAATGAGATCGGAGGAGGCAAGAAACCAAACCGAGACGGCTGCACGATGCCAATAAGGACGGAGTTCGCTAGGTTGATGATTATCACGAGGAATTCTATAATAAAAACCAAATAAGTCTACATAAATAAATGAATAAATAAACCAACATGGATAAAACAATCAAAAAAGCATCACGTGGCATTGAATTCAACACCTGCTCCGAGCCCCCCCCCCCCCCGCGTAATAAAAGAAGAACCAAACTCCCACCACCAACTTCAGCTTCTGACTTTCTGGTGCATCATGGCAAGTTCAATTCATCTCAAGGCGCATCAAATCTCTCTTCTTCTTCTCTCGCTTTCAGTCCTTGCCGCCTCCGATGAATTGGAGGCGACCGCAAGCCCGGCCGGCCTGAGGCCGGAGGCAGCGGACGCCGCCGCCTTCTTCGTCTTCGGAGACTCCACCGTCGACCCCGGCAACAACAACTACATCAAAACCATCCCCGAGAACCGCGCCGACTACGAGCCCTACGGCCAGGACGGCTCCTCCGGCAGGCCGACCGGCCGGTTCTCCAATGGCCGCGTGATCGTGGACTTCATAGGTACCTATGTTCGTAGCTTTCACCATGCATATAGCTTGTCCTCTTTTCATTCCTTCTTTTCCTGAGACAAAAACTCTTCGGTTTGGGTCCGGGATGACTTCGCAGCGGAGCACGCGAATCTGCCGGCGATCCCTCCGTTCATGCAGCCTTCGGCGGATTACAGCCGCGGCGTCAACTTCGCTTCCGGCGGAGGCGGAGTCCTTCAGGAGACCAACCAAGGACAGGTCAGCCCCTCTTTCTTTGTACATAATGGTGTCACGTATTGTATTTCGGGTCATCGGCTGATGAAATTATCTTGGGGGGTCAAGTCAACTCTAATGTGGGTCCCAGGCCTTATTGGAAATAGCCAGGTGGAATTTAGCGATTGGTCACCGGGAGGAGTGACGTGGGATGGTTGGTGGTGCTACAGGACACAAGCCACAATGGCTTGACCGTAGTTTCCCTCGATAACGAGGGCATAATAGTCGTGAGCTGGGGGTCGGTCTTTCTGATGCATACACAGCTTAGAAAAATAAATTTTCCTTCTCAAATTAACGAAAAAGATCATGTGCACGATAATGTCCTCGCGAACGGCGTAAACTATAGAGTAAATACTACATTTACTTAAAAAGATTTAGTAACTCTGATCTATTAAGGGTGTGTTTGGTTTGGCTTTGGCAATGGGATTTAAGGCTCTAAAGACCGGCCTTGGGCAAATGCTGAAGTGTTTGGCAGCTATTTTTAAGAGCCCATTCGGCAAATGCTAGCATTTCCAAAGTCCTCTGAAGTCTCTTAGCCCGATACAAGTCCTAACCAGTATTGGATTTCGAGTGTTTTCGAAATGTTACTTTAGGGATTGATGAAATTTTTTTCACATCCAATTTTGCCTTCGTTAAACTTTCAAAATTCAACTTTTACCTTCAATGCACGACGTCGCCGAGGAGCCAGATTTGACGTTGGACGAGCCAAATTTGGTATCGACTGCTGTCTCTTAGGGTCGCCTGAGGTTGTGGGCGACCTCAAGTGGGAAATGCTATTGCTAGATTTGGATCGTTGACGTCAAGTCGTCACCTGAGCGCCGCCGGAGTTTCAATTTTTTATTAATCTAAAAAAATAACTAAAGTCTTTTATAAGTGAAATTTTTTCCCAAACGGCACTTAAATCAAAATTGATTTCCAATACACTTTTCAATTATACTCCACTAAGCATTATTTGCATTTCAAAGAAACCATTTAATCTAAATTTATTTGCATTTAGACAAAGGCTATCCTCAAATGCCGAGTCAAACGCGGCCTAAACGAGTCACAACTCAATTGCCATGTCATTTTATAAGGTTGACTCATCAAAAAAGGGAGCTAAAAACCAAACAAACAAATAAAAAAAAGGAGAGAGAGAGAGAGACAAACTTTTTGACTTTATTTTGATATATAATAAAAACCCGACCATTTCTTGGAATTTCGACTTTTAAATGTTCGGTTGTTGTCTTTTGCATGTGATTATTTGGGTGGTTTTGTTGCAATTAGGAGTTGAGAAACAGACTTTTCATTCCCGCTAATTCGGAAAAAAATGATTTTTTTTTAATTTAAGATCCAAAAGTCAGTTCGAGATAGAAGGCTGCAGAAGTTTTTTTTTTTCCTGTGATTATCATTTTTTTTTTGGGTCAAATTCTTTCTTATGATTTTCATTTTCTGGTTTTGATTTTTTTGTTTTTTGTTTTGCTTTTATTTGCTGAATCAACGTTCATTTAGGGACATGTCATGGCCACACCAAAAAGGCATTGTTAATAAACCAAATTCAGTAAACCTTTAGTAAGTCCAGCATTACACTAAAGTATGATATTGTTAATTTCTTTCCCACAAATAATAGTGTGTACAAAGCGTGCATTAATCTGAGCCATATGGATTTCACAATTCACTAAACATGAAGCCTCGGAAATGACTTCTCTAGCTAATACATTCAGAGAAATAGGGCTGCATTGCACGCAAACTTATCAATTTGTTTTACCCACAAAAATGAAGATCTGTTTGAGTTGTTAATCGCATTACATAAGAGTTAAATTTCTTAGTAGATATATCTATTTATACAAATGTTTCTCTAGCGAAGATATCTCTGAAATTTATGGGCGATTGCTCTAATTTCGTGTGATTATTAGGCAATTGATCTTCCAACGCAACTGAAGAATTTTGATCAAGTGAGGGGGAAACTGATTGAGACATTAGGAGAGGCGAGAGCGCAAGCAGTCGTGTCGGAAGCGGTTTATTTCATAAGCATCGGAAGCAACGACTACATGGGTGGCTACTTGGGGAACCCTGCGATGAGGCAGCTTCACCCGTCCGATTTGTTCATCGGCATGGTCATCGGCAACTTGACAAATGTGATCCAGGTGAGCTTCCTCGTCGTTCTCCCGACACCTTAAAAGGCTTCGAATGATCGGTCGCGCGCTCGGTGTCATCACGCCATCCGGACTACCTCGATACGGCGACTCAATTGAGCTCATATAGATGTCCAGTTGCTAATTTTTGGCCCCTTAATTTTGGGTTTTGCTACTGACCAGGAGCTATATCAAAGGGGAGGGAGGAAGTTTGGGTTCCTGAGCTTGGGTCCACTGGGTTGCTTGCCGGCACTTCGAGCGGCGAACCCTAACAGTAACGCCGGCGACGGTGGCTGCTTCGAGGATGCTTCGGCTCTTGCTCAAGGACACAACACTGCTGTAAACGGCATCCTCCTGAGCCTCCAGCACATTTTCAAAGGTTTCAAGTACGCCAACTCCAACTTCTACGAGTGGCTTGCCGATCGGATGAGCAACCCCTCGAATTACGGTACATATACATAGTAATCTTTGTCCCTGAAGTCAATTACTCAAACCTGTCTTGTTACTTAGCCTATGTACCATCTGCAATATCTGGTTTTTTCAGGATTCAAGGATGGTGTGAATGCATGCTGCGGTTCCGGACCATACGGCGGCGTCTTCACGTGCGGGGGCAAACAGGAGGCCGAGTACAAGCTGTGCGAGAACCCAGAGGATCACGTGTGGTGGGACTCGTTCCACCCGACCGAGAAGATCCACAAGCAGTTCGCCAAGGCGCTGTGGGACGGACTGGTGTCGGTCGTGGGGCCTTACAACCTCCGGGACCTCTTCTTCGACAAGGACAAGGCCACCATCGCCGACCTCGTCGACGGAACCGTAGAGCAAGACTTCATGTACTGAAAAGTTTCAAAATTTCAGAGTCCTTAAATACACTTTCATGGTTTGTCTTTCTTGATAAATTATACAAGAGAATTTGAAAGTTTTACGCATTTTTGACATGTTGCCATAGGGACCAATTCATAGAGGTATATAGAGATCCTCTAAAATTGAGACCGATGATGATCTTATATATCTTGATTTACCTTTTCAAATGACGGTTCATCAAAACCATGGATAGATAAGAGAAAAGATGTTATCGATAGTTTAATTTAGCCGGTATAGTTCGTCTCAAAGGAAGATCGACAGGGACAGGGATGAGCACACTTAACCAAAGTTTAGTTGGCTCTCTTTGGAGGAATGAATTGAAAGAAAGGTGGAAAATTGGTGGAACGAAGAGGACAGAAATCGATATCATCGGCGGAATACTGGCAAAATAGCCTCAAAAAGTGTTTGAATGGAGACATGTTTTTGGAAGTTGGTAAAAGAGGAGGGCTCATCAAATGACAACCCTCAAAGTCAAGAAAGCGAGGTTGGGGTTCTATGTTTTGGTACTCGATTACTTTGTGTACCTCATTTGAAAAAGGGAAAGTATAGAGAAATCCCAGCTTGGAGAGTCCAAAATGGGCCGAGAGGAAACGCTCGATGCATATTTTCATGCATCGACAAAAACGCACGAGTGATTCCCCTAAATAGTGCGGCAAGAACAAGGCGACGCAAAGCAATTGGTGTGCCTTCAGCTAAAGAGTAGGCTATATCGACAAGGTCATTAATTAGAAACTATGATGGGTGGATGGTAAAGGATGTACTTGAAAAAGCCAACACAGCATGAAAGCAGTATGTTTAGTTTGAGTGGCTTCCTAATCAGTGTTACGGAAGAATCTGGTCATGAAAGGGTCATAAGAAAGATTATCATCTTCAGCACGCTCAAAATACTTGCATTGGGAAGTTTCAATATCCCTAACATTTGTTCCAAATGGACAAGGACCAGTAATGCCAAATAAATCGAGAAGGGCGATTGACATTGACCCTAAAGGGAAGAAAAAGCAGCTTGTCAAAGGGCACTAGAAGTTAACAACGGCACCTAATAGACTCAAATCCAGACAGTAAAATATGGACCGAAATTAACCGAAATAACTACATTGAAATTTCGCACAAATTGACTAAAAGTTTATGACTAAATTGACAAAATAGAAAAATTTATAACTAAATTAGTATACGTCTAATAAATTTAGGGTTGATCGGGTAATTTTCTAACTAAGGGTATATCCATTGAAGAGGGAAAATGATAAAATATTGAGAAGGCGGAGACGGCAAGTATAGCTGACTGGGACTTATTGTCCAACTCTCACTACCCTCCCTAGGATTGCGTAGTGCTTGAGAAAATGAAAGTGAGGGATGCTTCGAGTGCAAAAGAGAAGTGGATCATCGCACCCACGATGCAACAAACACACGTTGAAATGCTTCTCCTTTACAAAAGGGAAAACGACATGGAAAGCTGCTGTCGAGATCGATGCGTGTATCTCAATGCATCGACCCACTGATTTTGTCCTAATTTGAGTCGTACACCATTCCATTTGGTGCAGACAGAATGTGTGTGTAATTCTCTCTAATTGTCCTTCGGTGAACCTAACTTTTTTCCCGACTTTGTTACTATCATTCTCACGATTGTCATATTCACATCATCAGCTGATACGAGCGCGAAGCCACCCGTACGCCACGTTAGTCGGTTCATGACTTCATGGGATATTGCGGGATCAAGAGAACATATTGTTACGAAAAATTCGTGATTGGCCGATAGCTACCCTTCAATTATAGATCCGAATGCGATTGAAGGTTGCGTTCGTACTTGAATTTGATCATTTGAAGTGACGATGGGGAGTCATAATTTTGTGGGTCTCGATTACTTTCCACTATAGTTCTGACTAGCCATATCTTCCATTTCAAGAAAAGGGCGGGGTCGTTGAGAGCTAACGACAATATAAAGAGACTATAACGAAACTTTAATCATCTTTGTTAGTTGAAGAAAATCAGTTGGAATTTGGAAAGTGTGCGCTTTACCTTCTGATGAGATGGAGGGACATTTGGGGGCCACTTCGCATAATCCTGTTTGCTTCTTTGTAAATTACTAAATCTGAAAACATAAGACAATACAAATTATTGGGTGTAACGGTTAGGTGGCATCACGGATCGGCTCTCCCGCTGGACTATCTGCATTCATAAATTATCGGTTTTAATCATGCATTTATCTTGGGTCGGTCAGTAACATATCAGCTTCATCCGTTAACTTTATAAATTATCAAACATAAGAACACGAGACGATGTATTCTTGGGTATAACGACCGGGTGGCATCATGGATCGGCTTTCACACCGGTCTATGTACACCTCTCTGATCCGATTAAAGGCGGATCATCCATCCGGGACCGGGGGAGATTGCTTCCCTGGGGCCTTAAATTAGAATGACATATTATACAAGCACATCCAAAAAGTCATGCAAAGTCACACAGGTCATTCCATGCACAAAGTCCATGTGTGCAAGTTCATCTGCAATTCTAAAGGCCGCATGCATATTGCTCAGGTTACCCAAGCTTGGAAAGAGGGAGAGGGTGGTAGTGTTTGATCTTGACTTCGAGTTGAAGGTGTTGGGCAGGTCACCGAACCCCACCCAAATATATGCTGTATTTATCCACTTGCATTAGGAAAATTACAAAGTTTTGCCGTGAATTTCACAGCTATTGGTCGATCATGAGGACCCTACACAGATATTCAGAAATTCCCAATCTGTGAGTTCATGATTGGATGATGTCCATTTCATGAGTTCATGGAGAGTGGTTGGGAATTTACTGATGGAGAAAATCGACTGTCAATGATGTTGCAGCAAGTCAGCACGTACTTGTGTTATGGGGTGAATGACTGATGTGCGAATGCCAGATGTTCTGTGCAATTTCCACTTTCGTAGTGGGTTTGGTTGGTGGGTATAGTCATTTATTTCTGTTGCGCTTCGAGCGGATGGTCCAACCACATTGTCATCATCGACTAATCCACCGCGGCAAGAACCTAAAAGATTATATCATCCTTACTAAACAGGAACCATTCGTTTTGCGAAAGCTGAACTTCGCTAGAAGATATTTTCATAAGCAAGTTCTCTTTTATTAAGAGAATGATTTGATTTCCCAATGTTTTAATCGTCCTTTGCAAATAAAATAGAAGTCAATTGTCTGATATTCGTTATCAAGAGAGTCCGAAACATACTTTTGAGAAAGAGAATCGAGTACAGTCTCGAGGACCAAAGTCCGAGCGTCTAAGTTTCGTGTTTTGGCCATAGGGGACTCGGATCCGAGCAATTGGGGTCTTGGGTCCAGGCTACCAGGGGGTCCATCAACTAGGCATCGGGTTCGAGCACCTGAGACGGCTTTGTTATGGTGAATGTTGAGTTGTATTCTGAAAAATGATTTCTAATTTTCAAAAGAGAAAGTCATTTCCCTTAATTTAAGGCATGCATATTCTAATAATTATGAAAAAATTTGTTCGACTCGTTCTCTTAAATGATTTCAAGCTGGAAAATGAGAAGAATGTATTCTAACAATTAACTAAGGCAAAACAAACGAAATGGTTTTGTAAAAAATACTTGTTAATTCTACATCGTGAAATTGTTATGTCGGATCCATTGTAAAAAGATAAAGGATCATAACCGATTGATATAAGTCTATCTTAATATTTAACTTATCGGTCTTGATCACATATTAATCTTGGATCCGTACCTAACATATCACCTTCATCCATCAACTATATAAATTGTCAAATATAAAAATAAAAATAAAAGAGATAACATAGGAGCAAGAGTCCCACACTAGTTAGGCAAGGCGTTTTAGGCTTGAATATAAGCTTCGAGACCCGCACTGCTATCAGCTATAGCTTTTGGTACGAGACCCTTGTAAGTAGGTATTAGAGCCCGGTGTTCGGTTGACCCTGTTAAGGTCACACTCTCCACCCACCGTCCCTAGTGGCTAGGCAAGTCCCCTAGGGCCCCGATGTGGAGGACTGGGCATCATTTGTGCTAGTGGAGCATGGTGGAGCAAGAGTACCACATCGCCTAGGCAAGCCGTTTTAGGCTTGAATATAAGTTTCAGGAGCCCCCTCTACTATTAGCTATAATTTTTGGTATAAGATCCCCGGCGTTGTATCCCACTAAATTTAGAGAAGTCATTGCATGGTCTATGGACCACATGAAACAATATCATCTCAACCACCGTAGACTTCACATGATCGACGATTGAGGTGGACTTGACCTTGCATGATTTTTAAACCATGGCACTCGCTTTCTTTCTTACTTCACCTAGCTATAAAATCATGCCCTACTAATTAAAATCCTATCGAAGATCACAAATATAAATCTATTCAAAAACTTATCCCTCACCATGGAGCAAAGAGCAAAAAACTCCACCATTTGGTCACATGAACTGCAATAAATTCTGGCTAAAGATGAAATCCAGCAGGCGACGATGCTAGCATGCTGATGTGCTGCTGCGGAACATGACATGTCTTGCCGCTGATCGGCAATGGCAATAGCCCTGAACATGGATTCATCAAACGAATCCCATCCCAACTAACAAAGGCCACACTTCTATCTCAAATTTCTCTAACACGTTATAAGTAGAAGGGATAAGTATATTGAAAGTAATAAAATTTGTCACGAAAATATAATTGAATTGTAAAATTTTTAGGAAGTGCAATTTAAGACAATGGCATTCCCCTTCTCAAATTAAAAAAAAAAAAAAAGAACAAGCCACGTGGAAAATTTCGTACAGATTTTTCCAAATGGGTCAGAAATTTCTGAGACTCCCGTACCGTGGCCCACTTTGCCCCCGAATCCAACTATCTCTTAGGTGGCAAACCGACAAATGCAGCAATCCGTGTCCAGGATGCCAGCTGGACTCCGACAGATCCACTTCTCCTCTCTTTGTTTCTTCTTCAATTTTTTCTTTTTTTTTTGGGTTAAATCTGGTTTTTCCTGCTGTTCAAGCCTCAAATTCCACCCGGAAATTCCCGGCCCCGCAGCCGGAAATCGTCGAGAAATCGAAGCGCCCGTGAAACTTTCATTGG